TATTCTAAAGAACTCTTCCCAAATAAAATTTTCTTAAAAAGTGAGTTTTAACTCAGTGAAGACTACGGATGACACTCCAAATGGTTGGCTCTGAGGACTCGTGGACTCGTGCTGAGGACGCCAGCATGGTGAGCGCTGGGTGTGTGCTCTGGAGCCCCCCTCCCTGCCTGCCAGCTGAACCACTGAGCTAAGTGCTATGTGCCTCTGTTTCATTTGTCTCGTGGCATCTATCCATGGACGTACTGTGAGGGCTAAAAAGCTGCAAGCCTATACATACATGTGTATTACAATACTTTTTATATTCAACTACCTTTGGGTGTCTGAAGTAAAACTGAAATGAAAGGCCAGTGGGTGGGTACCAAAAGGCAAGGAAAATAGAAGTTGTTGGTTGATTTCACGTGCTGTTCACGGTCCTCAGATCCCCTATAAGACTCTTCTATTTTTAATACTAAGCCTTGAAAATTGGGAGGGCAATATAGCATTACCCCCTTTTCAGAGAGAAAAAAACAAACAAACCCACAAGAATTAGCTTATTGAGGCATTTTTAACAGAATTTATAGTGGAGAGTTAGAAGAAAGTTTCATTTTTATCCTTAATACTTTTAAGACAAGCTGTGTAGTTACAAATTTCATTCCCTCGTTGAGGCAAACATATATAGGTACCAACCAACATCCATGGCTTAACAGACACAATTTTATATGCCAGTTTAAAAACATTTATTAATAAATTGCTCAAGTCTTTTAAGGTTTATCCTAGGGTTTGCATAAATTCAGTAGCTCTAATTGTCTCTAGATATTTTAATAAGATGTATCAATTTACTTACCCTAATTCTGTGTTAGAAGTCATGACTTTCAAATACCTTGGTCAATTTGATTTTTCTTCATTGGTTGATATCATCATGTGATAGCCACCAAAGATAATTTATTCTTTAGTTTGTTAATATGGTGATTACATTGATTTATTTCAAGTATTGAACCAGCCTTGCATTTTTGCAATGAACTCTATGGTATATAATTCACTTTATATATGCATGTCTTTTCATATAATTAATAAATAATTCTATTTGCTAATAATTTGTTAAGGATTTGTATGTCTATTTTCATAAAGAATATTGGTCTGTATTTTTTTTTTATACTGTATTTTAAAATGTTTTTGGTTTTGGTGTCAGTGAATACTAGCTTTATAAATGAATTGGGAAGTGTTTTTGTTTGCCTTCTTGGTTTTCTGGAAGAAAGTGTAAAGAATTGGTGTTATTTTTCCTTTGCACACTTGTTAGAATTCTACAGTGAAAGCTGGGCCTGGGGAGTTCCTCTTTGGGAGTTTTAAATTAGTAGAGCCTGATAAGTTTTGAAAATACAACACTTAAAAAGCTATACAAAAAGATACATTAAAAACACTATAAATAAGTAAAAGTGGAATTCTAAAAATGTTCAACTAATCCTCAAGAAAGCAGAATAAAGAAAACAAATTACGGAGCTCCAGTGGCGCAATCGGTTAACAGAAAACAGAATGGCAATCTAACATGGCAATAATTACATTAAATATAAATGGTCTAAATAAAAAGACAGATTGACAAAGGTATTTAAAAATATGATTCCACTATATATTGTCAAAAAGAAACTCATTTTAAATATAATTATATAGGCAGGTTAAAAGTAAAAGAATGGAAAAAGATATGATAGAAAAAAAATAAATCAAAAGAAAGCAGTAGTGAAACACAAAGAAAAGTTGTTTTAAAAGGACCTCTGCAGAACTAATGTTGGAGCTAGAGAGACCTGGGCTCAATGACAGGGTCTGCTAGTTGGCTTCCTTATCACTGTAGTAATCTCAAGGAACATGTAAATGCCTCGTTTTCCTCATCTTTAAAATGGGCATGGAAAGAGAACTTACCTCATTGGCCTATTTAAAGAGTAAACATGATCTGGCATATACACCCTTGCTTCATTGCTTGCAGTATAACAAAGTCCTATTAGGAGCCATTACAATAATAGCAACAATTATAACAACTGCTGCTACTGCTGCTGCTGCTACTGCTGCTACAGAAGGCATTTTGTTAGGTTCTTTTAATTAAACATCTCAATGAACCCTAATATTTACTGCAAGGTTAGCATTGCCATCCTTATTTTAAAAATAAAAAATTTAATAAATAAAAGTAAGAATATCGATGCTCAGAAAAGTGAAGTAAGTCCTCCAAGATCAAAAAGTATCTGTTGTAAGTGCTGGGACTAAATCCAAGAACTGCTTCCCTTCATTATTTCATCCTTTTCCAATATATCACATTATCTAGAACCTAGATGTCTACATTAATCAACTTCCAATTCTTCAGAGTTTTCAGCCCAATGAAATGCCCTTCATGACCTCAGGAAATACATTTTGAATTAAAATTGACTCCTGCCTTTAGTCCTGAGACTTCTTGGTGTTTTTCTGGAGTTTGAGGCCAAGCTGCATTCCTGCAGCTTCAGGATGGCTCATGGACTCTCCAGCCTGTTTTTGTGTTTAGTGGCCCTGGTTAGAGTTTACCAGAAGCTAGGCTTGAGATTCCAGGGACCGTGGGTGCCATCAGAGACAGATATTGGTTACCAGGGCGAGGCAAAAGTAGATTGACAGTTGTTAGTATGGAGAATACAATAATAAATAATAATACAAGAATAAACTCTGTGTTTCATGTATTCACAACTGTAAACCTACTTTGCCGCACCCTGTAGACTGTATTGTTGAGATTCAGAGACAGTGTGGATTTCAATATGAAAATCTGACATACATATAATTCATATTATATAGCACACTCCTGTACTATGTACCTATACATAGCCCAATATACCTAAAAAAGTCTTCCCCTATCTAATTAGAAACCCTGTACATCTTAAGTGAAAATCCAGCAGTCACATGCCCCAACAATTCCTCTTCTAGGTACATACTAGTACATTAAAACAATAGTTTTCATCTGGGCATCCTAAAAGGTGTTTGGAAATATTTGGGTGGTTTGGTTGACACTATGACTGAGGGTGCTTCAGGCATTTGTGGGTGGAAGGGCCACAGGTGCTAAACACCCTGCAATGTGTCAGTGAAAGGATGGGAAGAAGAGGCTCATCTGGAAGGCCAGGAGCTCCATCGCAGAAAAACACTGTCCCAGAGAAACGTGTACATCTGCAACCACACGCGTCACAAACATTTTCATTGCAACATTGCATAATTTTTATAAAATTAAAAGACAACAACCAGAAAGCAACAAATCCATTCATGATAGACTAGATAAATAAATGTTGGTATGGTGATACACTGGGGAGAAATATACACCAATAAAAATGAATTTATCTCAGTTAAACACATCAAGAATGTTGTATCTGAAAACAATGTTGAATAAAAAATGGAAAAATATAGATACCAAGTTATATAAGGTTCAAAAACAGAATTCAGCAGTATTAGTGTTTAGGGATACACATATAAGAAGTAAAACTACAAAGAAAAATAAGTGGACAGTTAACAGAAAATCTAGGATAGCAATTACATCTGTGGAAAAAGAAGGGGCTGCCCTGGCCGGTTTGGCTCAGTGGATAGAGTGTCGGCCTGTGGACTGAGGGTCCCGGGTTCGATTTGGGTCAAGGGCACATGCCCGGGTTGTAGGCTCGATCCCCAGTTGGGGGCGAGCAGGAGGCAGCCAATCAATGATTCTCTCTCATCATTGATGTTTCTATCTCTCTCTCCCTCTCTCTCCCTCTCTGAAATCAATAAATATATATTAAAAAATAGAATAAGGAAAAGAAAAAGAAGGGGCTTACATTTAGAGAGAGTAAACTTCATAATGGGCCATGAATATATAAGTATTGCTTTTATTATCTTTGTATATATGTATATACATATATATTTCTTTTTATAAACTTTAATTTTCAAGAAACAGGCTTGAAATGATTGCATTAGAATGTTAGCAAAAGTGATGTTTTGGTGTAAGGATCATAGTTAAGATTTTTTTCCTTTCATTTATTTTTCTGCATTCAAAACCTTTTTCAAGTATCTCCACCACTCATCATTTGGGCCTAGCCTTCTTGATTTTCTTGATTGTATTACTTTTCTTTGTTACCTAGTATTTTTAGAAATAATATGAACCTTGACCAAAATATAAAAAGTGATGAAAGTGAAAGAGAAACAAATCAAAGTAAACAAAAATAAAAAGTAATAAGTTGCCCTGACCAGTTTGGCTCAGCGGATAGAGCGTCGGCCTGTGGACTCAAGGGTCCCAGGTTCGATTCCGGTCAAGGGCATGTACCTTGGTTGCGGGTGCATCCCCAGTGGGGAGTGTGCAGGAGGCAGCTGATCAATGTTTCTCTCTCATCGATGTTTCTAACTCTCTATCCCTCTCCCTTCCTCTCTGTAAAAAATCAATAAAATATATATATTTTTAAAAAGTAATAAGTTACCACAAATAATATGTACAAGTTGAATTCACATATCTATATATATAAAAGCCCAGCAACTGGAACAGTGGAACGATCAGAATGACTGGAATGACCGGTGACTATGACACGCACTGTGGCAGCCAACCAGCCTGATCTGGGCCCTGATCAGCACTCCCCCAGCTGGCCTGGCCCCAAATCAGCCCCCAATACCCCAGTTGGGCTGGGCCAGCAGGACCCCACCTGTGCATGAATTTGTGCACTGGGCCTCTAGTCAGTTAATAATTGGATACAAAAGCTCCACATTTCACATTCCATTTAAAACTGAATATTTTCTGTTATCTTTTCTGTAACAAGTTTGGTGTTACATCTGAAATATGATCTCTAGTTAAACAATATTTCTACAATAACATTTTAATTCATATTCCTTAAAATGACATATTTCCCCTCAACATCTTTGAGTACTTGTTGAAAGCTTTCATGCACTCCAAGTATACAAAGGGTTTCACTCCTATATTAATCCTCTCATTTCAATTAGCTATAACCTATTGATAAAGACTTCCCAATGTATTGACACCTTAGCATTTCTGCCCTGCAACTTGCTGATGTTCAATAAGTTTGACTTGTACATGCAGGCTCCCTCCCATGGAGAGTGTTGACAGGAGTTTTCTTCTTGTGTGTTCTTCTTTGATGTTTGGTGAGGGCTGACCTCTGGCTGAAGGTTTTGCTACATTCATTACATTCATAGGGTTTTTCCCCTGTGTGAATTCTCTGATGTTTTGTGAGTGCTGACTTTTCATAGAAAGTTTTCCCACATTCCGGACATTTGTAGGGTTTCTCTCCTGTATGAGTTCTCTGATGTACAACAAGGTTGGACTTCACACAGAAAGACCTCCAGCATTCATCACATTTATAGGGTTTCTCTCCTGTGTGGGTCCTTTGATGTTGAGTAAGGTTTGATTTCACACAAAAGGTTTTCCCACATTCATTACATCGATACGGTTTCTCTCCCGTGTGAGTTCTCTGGTGCACTGTGAGGGCTGACTTCTGGCAGAAGGATTTCCCACATTCATTACATTCATATGGTTTTTCTCCTGTGTGAGTTCTCTGATGTTCAGTGAGGTTGGACTTCACAAAGAAGGACTTTCCACATTCATTACATTCATAGGGTTTTTTCCCTATGTGTGTTCCCTGATGTTGAGTAAGGTCTGTTTTCTTATGGAAGACTTTTCCACATTTATTACAGTCATAGGTTTTCTTTCCTTTGTGAACACTCTGATTTTGAGTGAGGTCTGACTTATTACTTAAAGCTCTCCCACTTTCATTACATTTATTGGTTCTTTTCCTCAAGTGTGTTCTCTGATGTTGACCAAGTTTCAACTTCTTGCAGGAAGATTTCTCACACTTACTACCTTCAAAGCTTTTCTCTCCTGTGTTAATTCTCTGGTTTTGAGTGAGGCATGACTTCTTTATGGCTTTCTCACTTTCATTACACTCACCGTGTTTTTCTGTTGTATGAATTTTCTGATGTTGAGTAAGGCATGACTTTTCATGGAAGGATTTCCCACATTTATTACAGTCATAGATTTTCTCTCCTTTGTGAGTTCTCTCATCTTGAGTGTGGCATGACTTCTGCAAGGCTTCCGCACTTCCATTATACTCATCAGGTTTTCCTCCTGTGTGCATTCTCTGATGTTGAGTAAGGTTTGACTTCTTGCTATAGGATTTCTCCAATTTATTACATTTGGAGTGTTTCTCCCCTATGTGAGTTCTCTGATGTGCACGTTTTGGCTTTACCCATGAAGATTTCCCATTTTTACTGGATTCATGTGGCTTCCTTTCCCTAAGGGTTTTCAGATAAGCACTGAACTTTAACTTTTGCTTGAAGGTTGTTCTATGTTTTTTACCTTCAGAGGGGTTCTCTCCTGTGGAAACTCTCTTATATGTAACAAAGGCTGTTTTTTTGTGAAAGGCTTTCCCACAATTATTATATGTAAGAAGTTGCTCTGAAGCTGAATTCTTCTGATGTTGACTAAAGTAATCATTACGACTGTGGGACTTCTTTTGATCATTGTCACAGGGCTTGCTCATTGTATGAGTTTTCTCATGCGTAGTATCAAGGAATACACATCCGTTGAAATTGTTGGGCTTGTTTATTGCATGGATTCTATTACTAAGAATTAATTCTGAAACACTTTTCAAGTTTGTTCCAAATGAGTCACATTTATGAGATATTTTTCTTGAAGACACTGGGTTTGTGGCCACATTAAATTCTTCTCCTAAGGTTTTACTTCTCTCCTTAGTCATTGTTTTGTTGTTGCTGAATAAAGCTTGCTTTGGATATATATCTTCATTTTCTTGGCTTCTCTCTTTCATGTTATTGACTTTCTGGACTTCTATAAATATGAAAAATTAACATACATTATAAATCTTAACATATTCTTAAAGCAAGGGGGTTGTATACAAGTGCCCTATATTGAGTTGATTCTTAGGTTTTAGACATAGTCTCCTGGGATGAAAGAACTCTTAAGCAAATATTTAACTCTTGTTTGGTAACATGAAAACAAAGACAAAAACATATACCAGAGTAGAAAAAGAGAGAAAAAGCTGAAAATTAATCAAGTAGGTTTGGCTTGTTACAATATAACATTAAAATAGGTAGAGAGTTTGAAATAAAGCAGAAGGAATGGTGAACTGAGAACAAAGGATGTCAGGAAAACAATTGATCCAAGGATGGAGGTTAGTCAAAGAATGGGGCGAAGATAAGGGACACTGAGTAGGGAGACAAGGAAGACTAAAGGGTGACCAAGGGACGTATCAGAGCAAAGATTAAGTTTGGGGGCAGATTAAAGACTAGAACCTTATCCTCTCCTTATGCTTTAAATAATGCAGCAGGATCCTTCTTACAGTCTACATGCTTCTAATCTCTTCCTCTTCTTTCCCATTCTGTATACCAACTCACACATATATTTATAAAATCATTCATTTCCTCTGGTCAGTCCTATAGTTCTGGCTCCATCTCTCCATATAGCTGTGATATGGAAAAACAATGTCCAAAGAGAATGTTAAAATATATGAGAGGACAAGCCATGCTTACAGCAGGATCCAACTCCCCTCTGTGTTTTGATTGCTGGTGCTATCATTTGATCTATCAGAGTTAATCAATATAATCTGTCCTGATTGACACTCTACTTTTTCCACTTTCAGTCTGCAGTCACAATACTAATATTTATTTCCACGTTTATGTCATGTTTTCTTCCTCTCTGATTTCTCCTTGTCTGTGGGAGCTCAAGTACCTGGCTATTCAACTTGATCCTAGGACCAATACTAATTTTCATCTTAAAAATTTTTGGCTATGGGTAATTATTGTTATCCTCTGCTATTCTCATTTTATTCAATAACATCAACTGTGTGTTTAAAAGCTTATGACTTTTCTGTAGCAGATAGAGGAAGATTTGATGTTGTAAGTTTATACTTAAGAGTTGATACTAGTTTCATATGCCTAAATTCACAATACATGTTCAAATGATCATCCCACAAGTCTACAATATTGTTAGCTTCTACAAAATCAGGATATTTAATCCCATATATTGTGCATTTCCAAACACAAACCTACTTTCATGTTCTTCACTGAGTTAGCACACATTCCATCCTTAGCTCTTCTCGGAACCCAGGCATCCTTCAGGGCAATGCTACTTTCCTGTTGTTTAAAAAATATATATCCTCTGCCCTAACCGGTTTGGCTCAGTGGATTGAGCGTCGGCCTGTGGACTGAAGGGTCCCAGGTTCAATTCCCGTCAAGGGCATGTACCTTGGCTGCGGGCACGTCCCCAGTAGGGGGTTTGCAGGAGGCAGCTGATCGATGTTTCTAACTCTCTATCCTTCTCCCTTCCTCTCTGTAAAAAATCAATAAAGTATATTTTATATATATATATATATATATATATATATATATATATATATATCTCCTCACTCTTTTAAATTCCATTTGTGATAAATATTACAAGTAAATACTGTCTGTACAATATGTTCTCACACTATTTCCTAAGCACTTCTACTTCCATGATCTACTTCCTGATTTCCATTGCTTTTGGCAGTTTTCCACCTTTAAAATTTGTTATTATTATGTTTGAAATTTCAGCTGCCTCCCACCTACAACAAATATAGAGTTGACTTTTCTCCTTGTGGCCTTTGGGTAATTTTCAGGAAAAGAAGGGACAAGGCTGACTTTACACTTGCATCTGTATTTTGGAATCCACTCCTTCCTTCCAAAAACACTGTTTCTGTGGCTTCTGAACACCCCTGTCTCCTGACTCTCCCCCCTATAGAGTGGGTGCTCCTTCTCAGTCTCTCTTGCTAGAATCCCGTGTCTTCCTGACTTGCAAATGTAGTGCTTAAGGGCATAGTTCTTGACTTCTTCTCTTACCCATTGTCTCCCTCACAGTAGAATTCAGTCTTTACCAGGACTGAAAGGTTTTGCCCCCAGGTAACTCTCTGCCATCACTTGCTAATTTCTCCTCAACAAACCCTCTCTGACTTCCTTGCTGTTCCCTGATTACACCAAGTGCACTCCTGTCACAGAGGCTTGGCACCGGCTGCTCCCTCCATCTGGAAATCTCGCAGGTAACCCATGTCTCCCTCCACTCCACTTTTCTTCCTCCTCAAAGAGGCCATTCCTGACTTCCCTGCCAATCTCTATCCCCTTCACCTGACTTTAACTTTTCAGGGTGCTGATTACCACCAGGCATACTGCATATTTCTCTGCTCACCAGGTCTACTGATAGGACTAGAGACTTTGCTTTTGTACCCCTGTGCTTGGAATGTGACTGGTGCATAGCAGGCATTAAATAACTAAATATTTGTTGAATAAAAGAATGTATCAATAAATGCATCTCTGTAGAGTGTGTAGCACCGGTGGGAAGGTGAACAATGGCCATTGTTGAACAGAGAGGAAAACAGAGAAATAAAGGTCTAAGATGAGGGAGGCAGCAAATGGATGTCACAAAACCCAAGCAAATCTCTCTCTATACATGTCAAACAGAAAATTTAAAAATTGTATATGAAAGTGAAATTTGGAGGTTTCATAGCTAAGGTATGGTCCTTATTTGTCTTTAGTCATGTCTAAAAGTGGAGCCTCTATAAGATATTTCTGAAACATATTTCAAAGATACCAACCCTTGACCTGGACTCCTGGGATTCAGTTTCTACCAGTTGCCTTGGCCTGACTTCATTAACTCACCTGGATGGCTCTGACTCGGGAACTCTCCCTTTACTATCCATGGTTCTTCTTGCTCCAACTTGAATATCAGCTCAGGTTTGGCGACACAGTGCCCTGTTATGGGAAATGACAGGGGACTTGGCAACGTTTCTTAGGGCTCAGGCCCTTTGAGGAATCAGACGGGAGAAGCTTTAGAAGCTGAACCACGATGGAGCCCTCGTCGAAAAAGACTCTTTCACTGGGGAGGTGAGAATGCAATATTCTTTCAAGTTTCTTAAAAGGATCTTTTAATCCGAATTCTCAAGCCGAAAACTCATAATATTCTACATTGATGTGGTTCCTAAGAAAGGAAGTGCATGCTGTTGGGAGTTGCATGGGGCTGTGCTTACCCAGGGACAACAGGTGCCTGTAGTTCTCCAGCATCACCTCCCTGTACAGGTGCCTCTGAGCAGAGTCCAGCAGCTGCCACTCATCCCGGGTGAAGGCCACAGATATATCCTCGAACGACACTGACCCCTGTAATAGCCCAATGCTGCTCAGTCTGAAGTGCTCAGGACCAGAGGCATGAGAACGACATCTGGGAACGAATCCTACTGTGCTCCCCGTTAAGAGTTTACCAGGCAATATTACAAGGGATGTCTATGTACTTGTGGGAAAGACAGAAATCACAACAGAAATACTCTGCTGCCATGCCTGTTTATTAATTCATAAAGCAATCTGAGTTCCTCTGCCTGCCTAGAACTGTTCTGGTTTTGGAGGACGCCAAGGAGAATAAGACACTGGTCCTGTTCTTAAGGCATTGACAGACTGATGAGGCGAATTTCTACAGAAATAGACATGTGCAACAGTGAATTATGGGAGCCATGAAAAACTGTGGACAGAGTGAGGTCACAAAGGGGAGAGAGGGTTACATTTTTGTGTGTGTTTTTTCAGGTTATGCTGCATTGAGGAGATAAAGATGTGGTTGCACACCAACAGTGAGTTTTGTGTGAATAAAAGACAACAGTATAAGCCAAGATACAGACACACTAAAAATGCACATTCGGTTAAGGGAATTGCAAGTAGTACAGCGTGATAGTGAGAGGTGCCAATATAATCAGGTCAGAAAAGGCAGATGGAACAAACGGCACCAGGGCAATCAGGAAGGTCAGAAGGGGCAGACAGAACAAACAACTTTTATGGGAGACAGCTGCAGCAGGGAGGTTACGGGAGATGGCCGCAGCCCGGGAGTAAACTGAAAAACTAGCAACTAGACAGGCATTAATTCACAACGGCGCCAAGATTCCCAGAAGAATGACCCCCTTGCTCCCCCCGTTTGCTCCCCCGTTTGCTTCCCCCGTTTGCTAGAGGGGTATATAACCTGTGCTTAAACTCTTAGTCGGGGCTT